GAGTACATGAAATTAAATTTCTAGGTGTCATAGTGGATGATAGATTCACCTGGAAATCTCATATCAGATATATTCAGCATAAAATAGCAAAAAACATATCGATATTGGCGAGGGTCAGACATATTTTGGACATAAAAGCACTACGTATTTTGTATTCTTCATTAATTTTACCATACTTAGAGTATGGCGTTGAAAACTGGGGAAATACATACAAAAGCTCACTTCAACCATTGTATATATTACAAAAAAAAGCGATAAGAATTGTGCATAAGCTGGGGTATAGGGATCACACCAATGGAGCCTTCATACAGTCTATATTGTTAAAATTTTTTGACTTAGTGGGTCACAAGACTGTTGTGTTTATATATAAAGCCAGGAAAGATTTATTACCTGGTGGGATTATTCAAAAACTATTTAATGAAAGGGAAGGGGGATACAATTTAAGGGGTCAGTTAAATTTAAAAATTTATGCTATACGTACAACCAAAAAAAGATTCTGTATTTCGATAAGTGGAGTAAAATTATGGAATAATTTAGGTATGGACATAAAAAGCAGTAAGAATATTGATGAGTTTAAACACGGATATAAAGGTATGTGTCAATCAAGATATGGGCAAGAACAGGCTTAATGATTAATCAGACGGGAATGTGGATGTAGAATATGTATCCATGTAGTAATACTGCTTGCAAACCAATGATGATAAGATGATGTTAGGGGGTAGGACTAGATAAGTCTAACTTCTTCCTACTCTGTTCAAGCATGTACTAGGTATAAGCAAATTAAAAATATTTTTGTGGACATGTCTGGAATTATGTGTGATTACATACTGACTGTTGTTACATGTTTGAAAGAATAAATAAATCAAATCAAATCAAATATTGTGGTAAACCAAATTTCTCTTTATGCACTTAGACTAGTTAAGATCAAGTAATGTGAATAAACTATTGGCATTTAGCACAAATTGAATTAGTTTGTACAAACCTCTACAGTTTAGGCAGAATGACTCATCGATTTGTCTGTAACACTCTCCAAAGCATCTAAGTCTCTGCTTGATCACCTCATCTGTGGATCAGTGTACGTCAGTGTGGATGCACCTGAACTTCATTCTGTGTGTATGACTGAGATTAAAGCAGTTTACTCAGCACAGTACAAACACATTGGGATCGATATCGTAATGAGCACAGCAGGCTTTTGACTCTCTCTCCAACAAGAGCACCGCTCTTGTCCCGGAGCACAAATCACTAAGAGCCAAGTGGATCAATGTGTCCTCCCCTCTAATGAATGTGCAGTAAACATGATTAATGTCATTAGACTGACTGTTTATCCTCCTGGTTATCTCCTTATATACCCTGTTACCTCAATCTTCTAACCTGCTTTACTCATTGCCCCCTCTCCCATTTCCTCATGTCTCCTTCAACCTGTCCTCCCATCTGCAGGTGAGACCTTCTCAGAGAACTACAGTCACACAGAGCAGTGCAAAGCATGCACTCAGTGTACCGGCCTGATGCGGTTGGAGACGCCATGCACCGACTCAAATGACGCCATCTGTGTCTGCAACTACAACTACTTTTTCAATGTGATAACTGGCCATTGCGAGCCATGTACCGTGTGCCCAGCAGGACAGGGTGTGCTTGCTCACTGTGGAAACGATCACGACACGTTGTGTGAGGAGTGTCTAGATGATACCTTCTCTGACCGGGAGAGCTCCCTTGAACCCTGCTTGCCCTGCACCATATGTGACGAAGAAACTGAGATACAGCTGGCTGAGTGCACACCAACCAGCGACTCTGTCTGTCGTGGTAAGTCTGCCACATGTCACATCTGTAGCTCAGGTAACTCACTCAAGACTAAAGAAAAGAAAGTGATATATTGTTGCTTTTGATTTTGGTCCATTTCATGTTGACACTGACTTATTTTTACAAAGACCTGATAACCTGAAGTCATATGACTTAGTGACTCATTGGACAGTTTTGGTAACTATCAATATACAAAGTATAAACTTATAATCAAGGAAAAGTCTGGGCAATGAGACATTCAGTGATCAGAAACTGGTAAACAATCCAAATTCAGGAAAAAAGTCCAGGGGAATAAACAAAGGCAGAATCCAAAAAAGACAGGCAGGAACACTATGACTAGGAAAGCACACAAGACAATCTGGCAAGGAAAAAATGAAAAACAGCTGGTATATAAAGCATAAAGTGAAGGAATGTGGAGCAGGTGTGCAGTGAAGAGTTACACTGGTTCATGTCCCCTTCTGTACAGGTTGTTTGGGCAGGTCTGAACACACCAACTGTACTTGGGTACAGACCAAAACAACCACACTGAGACGCTTTAGAGGATGTGGTCATGAACTGGTCACAAACAATTTATAGAGAGAATATGATCCATCCAGTTTGAAGGAGCACTCTCATAGACAGGTGTACTTTGGATACTGAGATGTGGATGAGCAAAGTCAACAGTTGCAAGCAGCTGGCGGGAAAATCAGATGAGGTTCGACGTGAACCATCAATGAAGTATGTTACCTTCAGATAGGACTTTATTGGTACTTTCTCATTTCTGCCCTGGACACATCTAACCAACAAGTGGAGTGAAATTCTCACGTGGCTTTCAGAGAGACATTTTGGTTTGCTTGAAAATTTTCTGTGTGAAAAGAAACCAAACCAATGGGAAATTCTTTAGTATTCTCATGATTTTTTCTTTTGTTTGCACTGGAACAACACAAAAAAGCAAAGAAAGAGAAAAAAAGCCAAATCTGATACATTCCACACAGAACTCCAAAAATGGACTGGACAGAATTATTGACACCCTCAATATTTGGTAACACAATTTTTGGACAAAATAACTGAAATCAGTCACTTCCTTTAACCATCAGCGAGTTTCTTCCACCTCTCTACTGGAGTTTTGGACCACTCTTCTTTTGCCAGCTGCTCCAGGTCTCTCTGATTTGAAGGGTTCCTTTTCCCAGCTGCTGTTTTGAGATCTCTCCACAGGTGCTCTATGGGATTTAGATCTGGACTCATTGCTGCCCACTTCTGAACTCTCCAGCACATTGTCTGAAACAATTTCTGGGTGTTTTTGAACTCTGCTTTGGGTCATTGGCCTACTGTAGGACCCATGACCTCTGACGGAGACCTTTCTGACACTGGCCTTACAATGTGCCCCAGAATTCATTGGTAGTCTTCAGATTTCATAATGCCATACACACAGTCAAGACATCCAGTGCCTGAAGCAGCAAAGCAGCCCCAAAACATCAGTGAATCTCCATCGTGTTTGACTGTTGGGGCCGTGTACTTTTCTTTAAAGGCCTCACTTTGTTTTCTGAAAACAGCACAATGATGTGCTTGACCAAAAAAGCTCTGTTTTGGGGTCATCTGTGCACAGGACAATCTCCCAGAAGGACTGTGGCTTCCTCAGGTAAGTTTTGGCAAACTCCAATCTGGCTTTTTTTATATCTCTTTGCCAGCAGTGGGTTCCCCTGGGTCTCCTACCATAGCGTCCCTTGTCATTCAGATGATGACTCAGGACGTTCTCCCTGTGCCTGCAGGTCACCTTGAATTTGTTTGGAAGTTGATCGAGGTTCTTTATCCATCATTGGAACAATCCATCATCTATTTTTCTCTTTCATCCATGTCCAGGGAGATTAGCTCCAGCACCATGGGCAGTAATCTTCTTGACCATGTTGCACACAGTGGACACAGGACCAGCCAGATCTCTGGAGACGGACTTGTAGCCTTGAGATTGGCCAGGATTTTCCACTATTGTGGTTTTCACATCCTCAGACAATCCTTTGCTCTTCTTTCTTTTCTCCATTCTCGGTGTGGTCCACACAACACAAAGTTTGAGTCAACTTTTCTCCATTTTAACTGGTTGCCACTGTGATTTCTATGTTGCCAGAACCCGCTGGTTGCTACAGGTGAGTTTCAATACAAATTAAAGGAGCACCACCTGCTTGAAATAAAACTATTTCTGATGATTTTGAAAAGGTGTCAATAATTCTGTCCAGTCCATGTTTGGTGTTTGGTGTGGAAAGTATCAGATTTGGCTTTTTTCCCCTCTGCTTTTAGCCTGCTATAACCTGGTAAAACCTGATAAAACCCAAGACTTTGTGATTGCAACAATTTTCTGGGAGAAGTGGTGCATTATCTGACAGAAATGCAGGGGGACAGATGGTTTTGGCCATGACTGTATCTCTCAATTACTTTTGAACAAGATCCCAGGGGTGATTTTCACATTGGTCTGGGAGAACACATGAAGTCAAAGGTCAGCACTGGTCAGATTTTCAAATGGCATGAAGACTAATGCAATGCAATAAATAACCTGGTCCCCCTTAAAGGAGAACATACAAGGACTAGAATCAAGCTTTCTGTGTCCAAGAGTAAAGGCAGCTTGTAACCAAGAAAGCCGTAAATGATCTCAGGTCAACTGAGCCATGAAATCAACCTCCTCAGGGGCTACAAAACTCAAATCCGGGAGTAGAATGGGGCATTGCTCATGGATTCCTTGATAAAAATTCATTTCCCATCAATGGACCCTAATTTCAGAGGAAGTTTGTGGTTCAGCTTTATTCCTGGTAAATCTTCGTTTGCTATCATGTGGGTTTTTTATGCAAACTATGACCAAAAAGGCACTTCCACTGTGGAGTGATTAAATGCTTTGGAGGAAGCTCTTTATAGCTGTAGAACTTGCTAATGTAGAGCTTTTTATTGATCTCCTCTGTGCATTATTATTTTTAGATGAGCACCTTAATGACAGTTCTTGATATGAATATATTGCAATATTTCATTTTGGAAGATTTGCAGGGATTTCATGGCCTCAAACATTTGGATCTAAATTAATGTAAATGAAAAATCTGTCAGCACTTTGCTGTAGTACAATGGATGTGCTAAAACTACTTGCATTGACTGCAATAGCACTGACAAGCAGTGGAGAAAGGGACTGAGGAAACATAAGAGCAGAAAAAGCAGATGAGGTGGAAGAAGGGCTAATAACACAGATGGTGGCTTGCCACCTTCCCTATCACAAGTACCATCAACATAATCAGGGGAGCTACATTTAGGTTTTATTATCAATAAATCATCACCACAGTAATTTTCAACACAAACAAGACGATTCAAAATGTGGCCTCTATACGGCTCTGCACTTATATCGTATTTTAAACTGAGTGCCAAATTTAGAAGGAAATCTGTGGGATTGAATTACAACAGGGAGATCATGACACAGCAAAGTATGGAGGTAATGTTGTTCTAGCTAAAGTGGAGATAACATGTTTGCAGTTTTTAACGATGATAGCAACTTGGCTTAGTGCAGTGTCAATCAGGTGCTGAGTCAAGATTGAAATGTTTCAGGACCTACAGTATTTGATAGATTAGCATGAACCTGTGCAAAGACATCAGTGGTTCCCACCCAGATGATGAACCAAAACAAATTTCAAGTCAAAAGCTGGAAGCTTGGCAGAACATTTCAATCCTGGAAGCAAGTGTGCATACCATATTTCACATTCAGCAAGAAGTGTGGAGCTACTTTTTTCCTGTTTTCTCTTATTTCTTTTTCATCAAGACCAACACTGCCAAAATAGAAGAAGCCATGCCCACTCCAACTAACAGCCCTTATGTAAAAAGGCAGAAATATTTACTTTGGACATATCTGATATACAGTAGGGCACAATAGAGCCTTTTGCTGCTCATTTAGTGCCCACCCATGCTGCTGCTGCTCTCACCTTTGACCTTCCTTGTCCTGAGCAGTGGTACTGTAGCAGCATTAATGGTGGTGACTGGCGATGGCACGATACGTGACCTTGTGGGACATCCGTTTGAAAGGAGAGCCCTGTCATATAGCACTAGTGGGCCTGTGAGTAACGGCTGCAGTCACATGTGGTAGTGATGATGTTTCCAGTCTTTCCATGGTGATCTGTGATGACTGTGCATACAAATATGTTTTCTACAGGAAACAGGAAGCTGTCCTTCCTGTGTATTTTTCTACAGGAAACAGGAAGCTGTCCTTCATGTGTATTTTTTATCTAAGGAAAACAGTTTTTAATTCCTATTATAGTGCCTGTCTCAATTTTCTCCATGTGGTAAGGGACATAATTGGGGTACTTTCAAATCCCCAGTTCCTACCCAGCTGCCACCAAGTGTTTGTTCCTTGATATAATAACAGAAACAGAAAGAGAGAGAGAAAGAAATAAAGTTGGGGACAGACAAAAAGAGCTGCAGTATATGTGTTGTGCTGGTATTCTATGCTCAGGGGTCGATACCAGTCCTGGGGTTTCTTCTGCTCATGCTCAGGTTTCGCTGAGTGACCTCTATGAGCACCCATTCTTGACTGCAGGACACAGACACACTCACAAGCTTCGCCCTCTCCAGCTTCAGACACATAAACACTTTTTATGAGCATCCAGAATCAATACAGATGACAGCAGGCTAACACAGCACAGGCACTGTCTTGCCCCTGCCAAGTGCGCTTCAAGTTTTTTCATTAAGCTACAAACATGGCACATGTGTGAACTTCTTTGATATGAAACTGAAAACGCCTCCTCCATCTTTTTACTGAAGGTCCATGCCAGTTTCAGCCTCGGTAAAGCTTTTCCAAATGGCGCTGTTGAGTTTCCAGATCAGTAGATTTGTATTAAAGTGCTTGTTTAAGTCTTTGTCCTCAAGAACAAAAGAGGGGAAGATTAGAAAAACATAAAAACAGACTTCTCTTCTTTTTATTACCCCATATATCACTCTTTTTCTTGTCCTTCTCTTCCTACAGTGGGCCCTCGAGTGGCTAGGCTAGTGGAGTGGTGGAAGGTGGCCAG